TAGATTCTGCCTTTTGGAATGAGGCTGTTAATGATGAGATGGATTCGTTATTAATAAATAAGACTTGGGTTCTTGTGGACCTGCCTCCTGGATCTAAGGCTATTGGATGCAAATGGGTATTTCGCATTAAGTATAACACAGATGGATCAATACATACCTTCAAAGCTAGACTGGTTGCAAAAGGGTTTAGGCAAAAGGAAGGAGTAGATTGCTTCGACACCTATGCACCAGTTGCAAGAATCACTTTCATAAGAGTGCTTTTAGCCTTGGCTTCTATTTACAATTTTCACGTACACCAAATGGATGTAAAGACGGCATTCTTAAATGGTGAGTTAGATGAAGAAGTGTATATGGAGCAACCAGAAGGGTTCGTGTTGCCTGGAAATGAAGGAAAGGTGTGTAAATTGCAAAAGTCATTGTATGGACTTAAGCAAGCACCTAAACAATGGCATGAGAAATTTGATTCTATTGTTTTGGCTCATGGATTTTCTCATAACTCTGCTGATAAGTGCATTTATTCAAAGTGCACAAAAGAGTATATGGTCATTATATGCCTTTATGTTGATGATATGTTGATAATAGGAACTAACATGAAAGGCATAAATGAGACCAAAGAGTATCTAACTTCCTGCTTCCAAATGAAAGATCTTGGAGAAGTAGATACTATATTGGGTATCAAAGTAAAGAAACATAGTGGGGGTTTTGCTTTGAGTCAGTCACATTATGTCGAGAAGATGCTCAAGAAATTCGAGCATTTGGATATAAAGGAGGCTAACACCCCTTATGATGCATCTTTTAAGCTTTGTGCGAATGAGGGAAGGGCAGTGGCACAAGTTGAGTATTCTAGTGCTATTGGAAGTTTGATGTATGCAATGGGATGTACTAGGCCCGATATTGCATTTGCGGTGGGCAAACTTTCTAGATTCACTAGTAATCCTAGTGCCGATCATTGGAGAGCTATAGGCTTTGGTTATTTGAAATGAACCAAAGATTTGGGACTCTTCTATGGCAACTTCCCCGCTGTACTAGAAGCATTTTCTATTGCTAGTTGGATCACGAGCGCTAGTGATAATAAATCCACAACAAGATGGATTTTTACACTAGGTGGTGGAGCTGTTTCTTAGGCTTCGAAGAAACAAACATGTATTACACACTCCACTATGGAAGCCGAATTCCTAGCCCTTTGCGGCGGCTGGAAAAGAAGCAGAATGGCTAAGAAACATGTTGTTAGATATAGAGTTGTGGCCACAACCGATGCCAGCCATTTCTGTCTTCTGTGATAGTGAGGCTACTTTGTCTAGAGCTTATAACAAGATTTACAATGGTAAGTCTAGACACATTAGCCTAAGAAATGACTACGTTAGGTATTTGATTACTAACGGAATCATTTCTATTGTGTATGTAAGGTCGTGCAACAATTTGGCAGATCCTCTTACAAAGGGGTTGCCAAGAGGCATGATCTATGAAACATCCCAAGGGATGGGATTGAGACCTTTTGTATAGTTAGAAGTAATGGAAACCCAACCTTTTCTTTAGATATTCCCTAATTAAAAGGTTCAATGTGGTAATAACAAGTTACTCTAACTGGGTACTAGTTTATTGTACAAGTAAATTAGTTGTAAGAAGGGTGAGTTATAGAACTCTTAATGACGTTCATTTGGAATGTCACCTATGTGAGCATTTGGAGTGGTGCCGCTCTAACGAAAGTAAAGGTCAACTTTTGTATATGCTCATGAAACAGGATAAGCACATGGCCATAATAGTGCTACCCTTGTTGGTGGTTGTGTTTTAGAGAAGAGACGAGTACGTGTGTGGTGTCTCCGGTTCTAGCTTTGGATCTTGACTCCTAGGCTTAAGCCCGTCATTGATTCGCTATGAACTTTGAGATGCTTACACTAATTAAAGGTTCAAATCGAAAAGATACCTTTATGTATGCGTTACTTGTTCGAGGCAGGTATTCTCGACTCTTATTGACTAAGTGGGGGATTGTTAGAGTAGTCAAAGAGTAAAGGAAATACCACATTGGTCGGAGAAGGAAAGTGCAAGTTGTTTTTAAGTTTGCTTTCCACTTTAGTTATTGGATAAAGTGGTCAGTGGGCTTTTGGAAAAAGTGTGGGCTATTTAATTTGACATATTAAATCGAACTACGCACTTAGCACGTTTGCGCGACGCGTTCGGATTTGAATTTTTGGCTAATTAATTACCGGAATTATTTTAATTAATTAATCCGGATAATTATTTGATTTTGAATTTTGTGAAACGACGTAACCCTTCGGAAGGGAACTGCCGTTTTCACTATAAAAGTTCTGCAGCCGAACTTCTGTTCCAACATTCATCTTCTTCTCCTCGTTTTTCCTTCTCCAAAAACACAAACACAGAAGTCACGAAAGGTGCTGCTTTCTGACTTTGATTGGAGGGACTCCTGGGGGTGGTTTGCCTAAATCCTACCAGCAACGAAGTAGTGGGGGCAAATAAACACTCTAAGGAGAGTGATCTAATCACGCCTTCAATCGTTCTCTTCCATACTGTTTCCCTGACAATCTTTGATAGATCGAGAGATGAAATAGGCATGCAAGAAGAAGCGAAAGTGGGCAAAAGTAACAAAGAACGTCACATCATCATTATTAGCTACTTTCATATTGGGTAATGAGAGCATACATTCTACAAATAGAAAATCTGCATAACAGCTTTACATAGTCACATAGCCTATCATCATCATGTCGCAACCTAACAAAAAATCACCATTGCCACCACCATAAGGTGATAGGTCTATCAAGGCCATACTTAACAGAAGAACTGGAGCTCTCGAGCTTCAGGATACTACAAGAAAAACATGGTTGGTGTCGGTTGTGTTGGTTAAGTTAACGGACACAAAATTCAGAATTCATGTTGTGAATTTGCATCGGTTGTATTATCCCCGAATCGTATTTCACTAACGATTTAGAGGCTGAAGAATATTTCTCTTTAGGTTTTCATCCAACATAATGTAAGTTTTTTTTAACTAAATTAGGAGCTCATATGTAGTTTCATACAGTCTACAAGAATTAATATATTATGAACTTTATTTTTTTGAGGAGTCTAAAAAGGAGGAAAGCTTGACTCCTTATTGGTTATACAAAGTACTAAGTATAGAGTATATAATACATTATATATATGGTTAATTGCCTAATTGGTTTGATTGGTAAGTAGTATCTTAAACTAAACCAAATGAGTTAAAAAATTAACAAAAACCAAACCAATATTGAAATTGATCAAGTCAAATTATCCTAATATTACCGGTTAAAATGATTACCACAATAACCAATTCGTTTGAACACTCATAATTGATGCTATGATCACACCATAAGTCGATTAAGAAAAATATAAAATTAAGAAAATGACACTTTATCGAACCATCATATATATCTCCTAAAATAAAAATTTCAAATCTTATTATGCGCAAATATATAACGATATATGATGTATTGTATTTAATCATTGGCTAGGTGAAAGATGGAAATGTCCAAACTCCAGGGAGGAGTCCCAGCAGCAGAGAATATGTGTAAATGTGTTGCTTGATGTCAGGTCAATAAATCCATATCATGTGGTAGATGTTCTTTTTTTTTTTTTTTTCCCCTCTTCTTTTTCTTTGAAGATGTAGAAGAGATTGTTAGTTTGGTAAAAAAAAAAAAGAAGTTAGTATGGTAAAAGAAAGTACAATGATATCAATCCTGTGTAGGTCATGAATGATTGTAGGACCTAGGTTTGCTAATGTCATTAATAGTAAAGCAGCACCTACATATCTTCACTACAACATTCTCTCCAAATTAAAAATATTTTTTACTATCTACTCGTCAACCTAACTTATCTTTAAAAAGTATACATACATTTTACTTAAACAACTTCTCGATTATCCATAATATTATTGTCGATCTCGCTCTGTGTTATGATTAATAGATCACTAGTACGAGTCCCAACTGACTCGTAGGCTTCCTGTATATCCCATGTCACTTAAGTAAAACAACATGGTTTACAATGAAGCAAGAAGCAAATATTTGATAAAAACAATGATGCCATGATGTTAAACAAAACAATGGAGATCAATGTTAGAGAAGAACAAAATACATATAATTGCGAGAGACAAGGTGAGAACAAAGTAACAATGCAAGGAATTGGAGTTATATCGAACTAATCAAACCACCTAGCTAAATAGCAATGCCATGCCCGCCAAAAACCAGAATATCACTCCCATACAACTCTGGGCAACCAGAAAGGAAGAATGGGAAGGCAAACAATATAGTAAACTTGAACTTAACAAAGCAAAGCAAATTATTAGAAAATAAAACAGGTCGCAGTATCTGATAATCCTATGCCAAAGAGCCCCAAAGAAAACGTCAATACCACGCACGAGTTTAAGATGATTACTAAACGCCAAGCCAAAAATAAACCCAAAGATAAAAACGAGAATTTTGGACGCGGCTTCTGTTATACAGCAGCAGTTAACAACTTTGGAAAATTCGAGGTACACCGAATTATGTTAAAACAAACTCAATACTCTAAATTGTGTCATTTGCTGGTATATAACTGATTATATGCCTAAAGAGCGAGCTAGCTAGCATTTGTATCCAAACTTTGGAAAAATGGAAATGGGAATCCAAGTACTCCATCAAGTTTGATTTTTATATGTGCGCGTGTGTTTTTTTTCTCTCCCTAACACAATACTAGCAAATATCTTATCACTTTTGGCCATCATCATTGTTTCCGGATAAGATATTTAAAAGCGAGTTGTGAGTTGTGACAATAGAAATAGGCTTTACGAAATAACCATTTTTCGGTTCTTGTTTGTAATTCATACTCGTCAAGAGATTTGAGTGATCAAATGAGACAATGCCTTAGGTTTCAAATGTAAGTACTGTAGTTTAGTGCGTGCGCTCCTTAATTTTCTAGGTATACAACCAAAAACTAATTTAACAGTGCAACATCAAATTGAGTTATACTGTAATAATTTTTCGGTCAGCATTTTTAACTTTCAAAGTTTAATCAATATCTCCATCGATTTACTATGCACGCCATTACAGAGTAATCCACAATGAATTTCACTAACTGCCCTTTTTCATCTTACACTAGGTCTAGCTAAATCGTAAAGAATCATATCATATGTGTTTAGATTTCCGGATATAATCCTTCCATGAATAATATAAATTTCAAAGCGGAAATATAGAATGAGAAATGGACAGAAATATAACTATGAGCAACTCATACGAAAAGCTGTAAAATTCTGATAAATGTGAAATAGTTCCTTAGAACTGCAATTTGGATTAGCAACGGATTATTGGTACATCACGAAGAAAACACAAAGACTAGAACAACAAAAACGCAAGAAAATTCCCGCCAATTTTATGTATACGCGGAAAGTCCCTACTAAACCCAAATCAAACAGTAAAAATAGGGGGAAAAGTAGTCTCTGGCCAATTGAACCAGCACCACCGACACAATTGTAAAAGGACAAAAAAGTAAAAACACCACTTACTGCTCCCGCCTCATCTCAACATGTGCGGCCTCAAAGCATGATATGTAAACGACGGCGCCGGAGCCGTCGACAATTCCTCTGCCGCCGCCGTCGTCGATTGTTGGTGGGAATTCTTCCCGCCGCCGGAGCCGCTCTTACAGGGGACGTAGCTCATCAACGTCTTCTCGTTGGGGCAAGTGTGCTTGTTGGAGAAGAACATCCCGCATTCCGCCGCCGACCTCTGCCCCGGGAGATCCAGAATACAGTTGTGGCGGACATCCAGAACCTTCTTCTTGATGAGATCCCGGCAAGCGGGCCCCACCTGGGTGAAGTAATTCGAGGAAAGCGACAGATTGGCGAGCTTCGGTAGCTGGCAGACGCTCTCTGGAATGGCGCCGTACAGCTGGTTCCTCGCCAAATTGAGGTCTTTAATGTCCGCCAAGCAAGCGAAGGAGTGGGGGATTGGGCCGGTGAGCTTGTTACCCCCAGCGTCGAATATCCTCGCCTGGGTCAGGTTCCCAATTTCGGTGGGCAAGCAGCCGGAGAACTGATTGTTGAGGAACAACACCTCCAGCAGGCTCTTGCACCTGCCGATGCTTTTAGGAATCTGTCCGGAGAATCGGTTGTTGGCGAAGGTGAGGTACAGGGCCGGGGTGTCGCCGACGGTCTCGGGGAGCGGGCCGGTGAATCCGTTGTTGTTGAGGAAGAGGACGTCGAGATCCTGCTGGAAGATCCTGCTGGGGACGCTGCCGGAGAATCGGTTGTACCGGAGGTCGATGAAGGAGGCGTTGTGGGCGTCGAGGATCTCGTGGGGGAAACCGCCGGCGAACTTGTTGTTGCTGAGGTCGATTTCGTAGAAGTACTTGATCTTGGAGCCGAGGTTGGGCGGGATCTTGCCGGTGAAGTTGTTGGAATTGGCGTGGAACAGGGTGAGGTCGTCGAGCTCGTCGAGGAACCCTTGGAGCGGGAGGTCGTCTCCGTTGCCGCCGAATCCGTAGCCGTTGAAATCGGCGGCGGCGACGGCTTTCGTGTTGATGTCCGGGCGGATGGCGCATCGGAAGCCTTTGTAGCTGCAGACGTCGTTTCCTTGCCAGGAATCGGTAATGCGTTGCGGATCGCATTTGATTTTTTTCCTGAATCTCTGTATTACCTTGAAGGCCTTGGCGATTCGCTCGTTCTCGAATCCCGGAGTCGGAGGAGAGGGTTTGGGAGGCGGAGGAGGCGGAGATGGTTTGGGAGTCGGCGGAGGCGGGCTTGGAGTCGGAGGAGGATGCTGTGGTGGAGGAGGATAATGGAAATTGGCCGGAGGTGGGCAAATTGGTTCGGGAGGAGGAGGCGGTGGAGGGCAATCGCCGTAATCCGGCGGATAGGGAGTTTCGCCGCCGATGATGATCTCCAATGCGCCCCTGTTGGGTACGTCGGCGGCGGTGGCCGGGGCATGGGAGTGGAAGAGGAGAGTGACGAAGAGAAGAGAGAGTGAAGCGGCGGCCATGTCTTCTCCACCTCTGTTTTTCATTTGTGTTGGAGGAAAATTGATTGATAGTAAGGAAGGAGAAAGGAATTGGTGGGATTTTGAAGGTAGGGATTATTATATAGGAATGGAATAAATGTATGTTTGGGAATATTAATTTCCCCGACTACATATATTGATTTTAAGTCGTAATTACAAAACGACGAGAGTTCGTTCCCTCGGCTTTTTCTTCAGTTGTGTCGTTTTCCCTCCACTTTGTACAGGACTGTTTGTTTGGACCCTCGTAGTAATTTAGTATTAATTAATTTCTTAAAGGAAATCGGGGGAAACCAGACAAGGGATAATAGTAATAGAGACAGAAAAAGCATTTTGAGCGCGCCACTTGACTTCTTTGTTTAAAGTTTGAACCAATGAGGTACGAGCCCTAGACTCGAGGGAAAAGCGCCCTGTTTTGCCCCAAGGTTTTAACTCTCTGCTGCTTTTGTTGATCCATGTAAGTTAAGTTTTACGGTCAAATTTTACAAGCAATCATTCAACGAAATTCATCTTCTTTTTTTACATGTAATTGGGTTAATAATCAGTATTGTGGTCTGTCATTTTTTATTTACTATCTCGTATTTATGTCTCATTATTGTCCGCTTCCTGTCATAAATTCATGGGGCAAAGTGGGGATGGGATTAGGTGCTAATCCTTATAGGGGTTAGCACCGTGATAACTAGTAAAAATTACTACGGATTATTATAAAATCAATACAACATCTAAGCTAAATCACTACTAATTCAAACTAGTAGTAGTTTTCCCCTTGGTTAGAACGGTGCTAACTATTGTACAATTAGCACCGTAGCCGTTCCCGACAAAGTGTGGTTCTCCGTTCCACCCCATTATTGTCCAGAACCGGTGAGTAACATTGTGGTGAGTAACCTCATGCATAACTCAATAAAAATCTGCCACATCGGCGCCTCCTTCTCTCTCCTAGAAAATCATTAATTTTCTTTCTCTTAATCTTTAACGGACGATTTCTCACTCGTTTTAACTCGAAATTTAATTTTTTTTGCACAGTTAGATCAGATTAATTGTGCTCTTCAAAATGATATCCACTTTGATATTTTTGGAACAAAATTTTTTTTCCAGTTATTACCAGTCACTACCATATGGTATAATATTGACTATATCATATGATATTGACCGGTATTAAATAACAACATATCATATGGTATGAAAAATACCACCTCATACCAGGGTGGTATAGTATGGTATGGAATTGGTAGTGATTCAAAATGATATCCGCTTTGATATTTTTTGGAACAAAAAAAAATTGTCAGTTATTACCAGTCAATACCATATGGTATTGACTGGTATTAAATAACAGCATACCATATGGTATGAAAAATACCACCTCATACCAGGGTGGTATAGTATGGTATGGAGTTGGTAACGAGAGGTATGGAATTTTTTCCCCTAGAAAATTTTGAAATCCAATAGATCATGATTAAATCGTTCCTTTTGTGCAAAAATTTCCGAAAATGACTAAACAACGAAGGAGATACCATATGGAATGCAGTTGGTAACGAGAGGAATGAAATTCTTTTTCTCAAAAAATATCGAAAATGGATATCATTTTGTAGAGCACAACGAACTCGTTCCATCTGTGCAAAAAAAAAATTGAAATCCGAGTTAGAATGAAGAAGATATGATCCAATTAAGAAAACTAGGAAAAATAAATTCTTTTAATTCTCCACCCTTAGATCTGCAGCCACTTAAAAGAAGAGTCCAGATTTGGTTACTCATTGTTACTCACCCTATCTTGAGCCATTATTTACGTAACTTTGCTTGCCATTTAATTAAAGGGTAAGAATGAAGGAAGATATGATAAATTTTCTTTAGGGGGAAGGAAGAAATGATGTTGAAGGAAGGAGCGAATAGATATATTTTCAATAAATCGAGTTATTAGAGAAAATTAGACATTTTATGTTATTCTTTTACTATCTTTCATATAAAATTCAATTAATGAGTTTTGTAAATATTGGTGTAATGGAGATTAAAAAAATTTGGTCACTTGGTCAAAACATGGTTAGATATTGTATTATAAATTGTTTCGTCTATAATTTAATTTGTTATGAAAATGTTATATTGTATATCTTATAGCACTCCTATAGTAGTTAAGATTTCATGTAATGATGACAATTTGGAAAAAAATTCAATAATTTCCTACTATCTTCTACGAAGGCGATGTGATATATTAAAAAGTTTGTATAACATATTATTTGGAACAAGGATGCTCTCGGCAAACGCTCTCGCTGAACCACCTCCCGCGATGACCCTGCTCTTACAGGACGGCCTCCGGACAATCCAAATTAGGCTCCACCTCTTCAGATCTTGGCAACGATAAGTACTGTGTTGATGTCGGGGTTGTTGACGACGTCAGATTCCTTTCTACGGGCACTGAGAGAGGTTTCAAGTCACCTTACACCATAATCTTTGCTCGTGACGTTGACTACCACCACCTCCAGTAAATGGTCCGCTGACCGATCTCGGCGGAGACACCCTCCGACGCTCAAGTAAGTATCGAGTGGAAAGCTGAAGGTAAGGTCAAGCTAAGGAGGAGAGGAGGGTCTAGGCGAGTGGTAGTACCGGCTGCTAATAGTAGCATGCTCTCTAAGGGGGCTCGCCGTGACCTTTTTTGCTTACTTTTGTCGGAAGGTGAGAGATACCTTTTTATAGTGATCGTCCGGGGGACAACAGAGGACACGCGGCGGAGCCGTGGTATAGAGCCGACTATCACCGCGGGAGGTGTCATCGCCTCAAGCGTCCACTCGCCACGCGTTATGTGCCCCCGTGCCACGTCTAGGTGCTTACGCCATGTGGGAGGACATGGTTCAACAAGGGTGCCACATAAGGGAGGAGGTTGAAGCAAATGCAACGGGTCGAGACATCGCGATGGGTGAGTACCGTGAGCGGCGAGCGCCGGTGAGTGCGGTGGGCAGTGAACGCTGGTGAGCCTTGTGGGCGGTGAGCGCCATGGGAGGCAAATGCTGGTGAACGCCAAGCTCTGGTGAGGGTCGAGAGCAGTGAACGCCATGGATGGTGAGCGCCGTGGGCCGGGAGTGGAGTGGGCCCGAGAGTAGGGTGGACCGGAGGCCATGGGCGCTATAGGAGGTGAACACCATGATGCAGTAAAATGTTTTTACGTGAGGTCCGTCATACTGCTTATCCACACCCAATGAACTTCAAAGCGGCCCACGCTGGTTACACAAAGAAAACTCATCGAGAATGACGCAATGGATTTTCTTCGGAGCACAGAATTTGGAACCCAACTCTTCCAATGAATGTGAACTATGTCAGCCATGAAAGAAGACCTTGGTGGTTAGACTCCTAGTTCGAACAGTTTTGTACTCAGACTTATATTCACAACTTCGATGGAATGGTGCCCACTGGGCTCCCTAAAATTAACGGATCTCAACAACGATATCGTCCTTACCACTTTTGGGGATGATCAAGATTATCTTCAGGCTCTCACAGGAGGACCGTGGGTCATTCTAGACTACTATTTGGTAGTTCGTCAATGGTCTCCAATTTTCTATATTTGTACATTTTCTCCTTCTATCAATGCAACTTTAGTAATTTCTCTTGTATTTCTTATCTAATTCATAAATATTTGATCAATGGGTCTTTAATAGACCTAGGATGTGTGTTTATACTCTTTGAAGCCTTCTTGGTATATTTTTTTTTATGGTTTTCACGATTTAACATCATCTAGGAAGATTTAAATCAAACATTGGACAACTTTGGAGGACCAAAGGAGGTATGACGAGAAGTATATGGAGTTTTCATGATAAAAACGAGTTCCAATGACAGAGAAGTATACGAGTAACCACAAGTAGAGCCCAAGAGACACCAATGGAGGAAGACTCGACCCAAGCAGAAGCAAGAACTAGCGGCGCCCAACATCGAGTTCAAACACCGCTCATGGTAACTTGGAAAAATCGTGAACGATTCTTTAGGAGAGGTTATTCATGGTCCAAGGAGGTCACCCCGTGAAGAAAACAGTTGCAGTCCCAACCACCGCTTAGCCACCGCTAGAAGGCCTAAGCCTAAATAGAAGATTTTATGCCTTACTTCGGCACCAAGGCAAAGAAACCTTTTCCTAGTAGGTGTAGGAGGGTTTTAACTGGATTTTTGGGCATGATACTATACCTAACCCTTGATGAGTGAACCCTAGGTCTTAGTTTTCAAAATCATAGTACCTAACCCCAAAAATTGTGCATGTAATTTGTTGCATATATTTTGACGAATCATAACCGGTAGTTTTTGTTTTAATTAAATTGTTCTTAGTGTATGAGATTTATAGAATTAAGAAGTAGATTTTAATCTTCAAGGGCTTGGGAATAGTACCAGATGCCAAACTCTAGTCAATTCAAAGTCTATGTAACATTTTCTTACTCAAGGTATGTCATACCTTTGATTTTACCCAAGATACAATAGAACCACCCTTCTTTTCTATGTTATATAGACTTAGATGTAACTATTGAGAGTCAAGATATTATATATAACGTGACTATTCCACCAAAAAGTTTTCTTTTAATTCAAAATGATCAATATGTAGAATCCGAGCAAGTGATTGCTGAAATCCGCGCGAGAAAATACACTTTGAATTTTAAAGAGAGGGTTCGAAAACATATTTATTCAGACTCAGAGGGGGAAATGCATTGGAGTTAGAGGTGGCAAATGGATTGGATTCATGGGTTGGTGGATTGGTGGATCCATAGATCAAATGGATTGGTGGATTCATGGATTAGATCAAATGGATTGGTGGATTGATCCATGAATCCAAATGACATCCAAGGCTTTGACCAAAATGTAAATTTTGAAAAGTTTAGGTACTAAAATGTCATAATAAAAAATTTTAGGGTGAAAAATGTAATTTTCCAATGATATTTTTCATCTAAAAATATAAATTTTAGGTACCAAAATGTAAAATATATAAAATATAAGTACCAAATTGTAATTTTCCATGAATCCACCAATCTAGTTGGATTTGGATCAAATGGATTGGATTAGGTGTATAATTTGGTGGATGGATTGGATTCATGGATT